TCTGCACAGGTAGAACCAGGGCCTGCAGATCCACTAGGGCAGTGGTTCTCAACCTTCTGGCCCTTTAAATACAGTTCCTCATGTTGTGACCCAACCGTAAAATTATTTTCGTTGCTACTTCATAACTGTAATGTTGCTACTGTTATGAATCGTAATGTAAGTATCTGATATGCAGGATGGTCGTAGGCGACCCCTGTGAAAGGGTCGTTCGATCGCCAAAGGGGTTGCGACCCACAGGTTGAGAACCACTGACCTAGGGCCTGGGTCAGGGTCCTCGCCAAGGCCAGGGCAGCCTTCATGGCGGCTTGAGTTTTGCCCACTGATCTTGGGGAGGCTCCTGCACGTCCTGGGGAGAATGCGGCCACCATGCTGGTTTTGCATCTTTAAGAGACGCTGGGCGCCCTGGTGCTTCTCTGCCAACTGGAGGAAGAAGTGGTCCATGCCCTCCAGAGCCATATCATCACGGCCGGTCAAAACAGAAGCCCAGAGAGAGGTGGCTGACCACAGCCTGCACCTTGATGGAGTAATTCTGACGAATTTGGGAGCTCATGGTTGTTTGGCAACAAGGAGTTAAGGTAGGAAAAAAACCCAGTGTGTTGGCTGGTCTCAGAGGTGCTTCTGAAGGTGGAGACTGGATAAGACACAGGACAGTGGCTGGAGGCTGGGTCCCTGGGTCTATTCCATCCAAACACTGTTGAAGCCAGAGACAGATCCGGGACCACCAAGGGAACTGTCCATAATTTTCTTTTTTAAAAAACTGAGTCATATTCCACATGTGTATATACCACAATTTCTTTATCCAATTCTCTGTCGATGGACATTTAGGCTGTTTCCACATCTTGGCTATAGTGAATAGTGCTGCAATGAAATTGAAATGCTAAAATGTCTTCAAGATACTGAGTTGAATTCTTTGGAATTGCACAAAGTAGGATTGTTGGATCATATGGTAATTCTATTTATTAAGTTTTTTGAGGAACTTCCATACTGTTTTATTTATTTACTTAAAAGACTTTAAAAAATTGATTTCTAGAGAGAGGAGGAGAGAGGGAGAAAGAGATAAACATCAATGTCAGAGCAAAACACTGACCAGCTGCCTCTTGCATGCTACTAGAGATGGAGCCTGCAACCCGGGCATGTGTCCTGACCGGGAATGGAACCTGTGACCCTTCAGTGCAAGAGACAATGCTCCAACCGACTGAGCCACACCAGGCAGAAACCATACTGTTTCATATAGTAGCGGCACCATTTTGCATCCCCATCAACAATGAATATCACTGCCAACATTTGTCTTCTGTTTTTCTGATAATAGCCATCCTGACAGGTGTGAAATGTTATCTCAGTTGATTTACATTTTCCTGATGATTTTGTGATGTTGAGCATTTTTTTCATAGGACAATTGATCATTTGTATTTTTTTTTTGAGAAATGTCTATTCAAGTGCTTAGCCTATTAGTTTCTTTGCTATTGAGTTGTAGAAGTTCTTATATATTTTGGAGATTAACCCTTTATCAGATAAGAATTTGAAAATATTTTCTCCCATTCCATATGTTGCCTTTTCATTCTATTGATTGTTTCCTTTACGGTGGAACTTTGCAGCTGAAACTATTTGACAATAATCCCAAAAGAAATCTCCTTTTTTTCTGCCTGAATCTAAGTGGCTATGCCTTTGCCATGATTTGTCTTCCTCCGGATTCCACATTTCTGTCTTACTACTCTCTCTCCTCTGCTCTGCTTCACAATACTGGGGAAAGATTACTTAGGGCAGTGGTTGGCAAATTGCGGTTCGAGAGCCACATGTGGGTCTTTGACCCCTTGAGTGTGGCTCTTCCACAAAATACCACGTGCGGGCGGGCATGTACAGTGCGATTGAAACTTCGTGGCCCATGCGCAGAAGTCGGTATTTTGTGGAAGAGCCACACTCAAGGGGTCAAAGAGCCATATGTGGCTTGCGAGCCGCAGTTTGCCGACCACTGATAGGGGATATTAGTGAGGTAGACTGTGTCGTGCTGGGTGTAAGTATGGTTCAGGACCATGGAGAGCGGCACTCAGGGTTCAAACCTCTAACGGCCATGATCTATCTGATATTGACACGTCTTTGTTGGCCTGTTCTAAACCCTAGAGTTTAGAGCAATGCCTAACATATAAAAAGTAGTCAATAAATATTTGTTGAATGAAATGAAATGACCTGCATTCTCCCTAGTGGAATCAATGTGTGGAGGACTATGAACATTTCTGTAGCTCTTGGTACATGCCACCAAATTCTTTTCAGAAGTGGGACATTAATTTATACAGCCACCAAGTAAAACTTTGATTTTTCTCTTTATATGCTTCACTCATTTTTCTTGTTTATTAAAGTACTAGAGGCCTGGTGCATGAGATTTGTGCACTGCGGGAGGGAGGGGCCTCAGCCTGGCCTGCGCCCTCTCACAGTCCGGGACCCCTTGCTCCTTACCACCCACCTGACTCAGAGGCAGGAGAGCCTCCCGCCGCCACTGCTGCACTCGCCAGCCATGAACCAGGCTTCTGGCTGAGTAGCGCTCCCCCTGTGGGAGTGCACTGACCACCAGGGGGCAGCTCCTGCGTTGAGCATCTGCCCCATGGTGGTCAGTGTGCATCATAGCGACGAGTCTATAGATTTGCATGTTAGGATTTTATTATATAGGATATTTGACAAACAATATTATATTAGTTTCAGGCGTACAACGTAGTAGATCGACATTTATAATCCTTACAAAAATTTGTGCACTCGGGGGAGGGGCGGAACCCCTCGCCCGGCCTGTGTCCTCTCGCAGTCTGGGATCCCTTGGGGGATGACCACCTGCTGACTTAGGCCTGCTCCCGGGGAAATTGGGCCTAAGCTAGCAGTCAGACATCCCTCTGGCAGCCCGGGAGCCCTCGGGGGATGTCCACTTGCCAGCGCAGAGCAGGCCCAAGCTGCAGTCGGACATCCTTAGCACTGCTGAGGAGGCGGGAGATGCTCCCACCACCACCGCTGCACTGGCAGCCATCAGCCTGTCTTGTGGCTGAGCAGAGCTCCCGCTGTGGGAGCACACTGACAACCAGGGGGAAGCTCCTGCATTGAGCGTCTGCCCCCTGGTGGTCAGTGTGTGTCATAGTGACCAGTCATTCCCAGTCGTTCTGCTGTTAGGGTCAACTTGCATATCACCCTTTTATTATATAGGATGATGTGATCACCACAGTAATTCTAGTAACCATCTGTCACCATACAGACTTATTATGATAATATTGACTATTTTCCCAATGCTGTGCATTACATCCATATGACTTATTTTTCATAACTGGTGGTTTGTACCTCTTATTCTCCTTCATTTTTTTTTTCCAATTCCCCCACCTCCCTGCCCTCTGGCAACCTTCAGTTTGTTCTCTGTATCTATGAGTCTGTTTTTGTTTTGTTTGATTTGTTTGTTTTTTTTATTGCCCATTTAAGTGAAATAATATGGCATTTGTCCTCTCTGACTTACTCATTTAGTATAATACCCATTTAATGATGTTAAGTCTTCTGATCCATGAACATGAGATGTCATTCCATGTGTTTAGGTCTTTTTAATTTTTTTTTTCAAATTGCACACACACACACACACACACACATATTTAACTTGCATAGCTAGTTAGCTAAAAAAATAAATAGCTTTTGGGTACTGATTAGCAGCTATAACTATCCCTGTTATTTTTGTGTAGCTGAAATAATTTTTAATGTATTAGAATTAAGAATATTTACAAAGAAGTACTCATTAGTCCTGGCTGGTGTGGCTCAGTTGGTTGATGGTCGTCCTATGCACCAGGTCACCAGTTCGATTCCTGGTGAGGGCACATATCTGGGTTGTGGGTTCAATCCCTGGTCAGGGTGCATATGGGACCCAAGCGATCAATGTTTCTTTTTCTCTCTCTCCCTCTCCCCCCTCTAAAAAAAAGGAAGTACTCATTAAAACAATACTTGTTGCTCTAATTAATTTCTTAAATCAGAAGAAACTGATTTAGTTAATATATAAAATTTAGTTAATATATAAACTGAGAAAAGTATAATGAAAAGTGCTTGAGACTGGAAGTCAGGAAATTGGGATGCTTTTACTAGTTGTGTGCCTAAGTAGGCTTATAACCTTTGGAAAAATTATTTTACCTCTCTAGGACTGTTTTCTCACATACAAAATAATATTGCAATTTTTCCTAAATAGGAAATCAAGGGGCTATGATAGTAATCAATATGGCATACAACTGTATTTATTTATTTTTAAAATATATTTTTATTGATTTTAGAGAAGGGAGAGGGATAGAGAGATAGAAACATCAATGATGAGAGAGAATCATTGATTGGCTGCCTCCTGCACACCCCACACTGGGGATTGAGCCCGCAATGGAGCACGTGCCCTGACTGGGAATCGAACCCTGACCTAGTTCATAGGTTGACACTCAACCACTGAGCCAAGCTGGCCGGGCCTGTATTTATTTTTAGATCAAATCTTGAGAAATAAAGTATTTATAAACTGTTTGCGGTTGAGATGTTCAATATTTCCATGCACCCTCCCCCCATCTTAGAAGTATGAGTGAAAATATATATTTTTACTTGCTGCAGATTAAATTAGAGGAAGCTGTATATGGAGGTTAAATACCTATAAGTATAAAATAAAATTATGGGCTTTAGAATGCAAAATTATGGTTATGATTCATTCTTAATATAATTGAGAAATAGATGCCATCTTTTGTAATCAGAATATTAATGTTAATAAGTTGTCTTAAAACATCCAGTACAGTAAATAAAATAAAGTATGGGCCAATATGCAGATTATATACTTAAACCTTTTTTTTTTAGTGTTTTAAAGTAGCATAACAAGACATTTTCCAGCTTAACACACTTTAACGTGCAACTTTTCTGGGCACCCCCTGACTTCCCATTCTCTGAGTAGGTGTCTCCTTTGAAGAAATGTATTCAGTAATTAGAATTGTTTTTATTGGGTTTTAAAGCCAGTACTCAATAGCACCATCTACTGTTAACACAGTGAAACTTAATAACAGTGGAAAGAATGTTATATTCTCAGACCTTCACGTTGAAACAGACACAAGAAATATTCAAACCCCAAATTTCTAAGCTTACCGATAAAGAAAGCGAGGCTCAGAAAAGATAAGTAAGTTGTCAAAAGTCACATATAATACTATTGCAAACTAAAATTTCTCTAGGTCAGTGGTTCTCAACCATCTGGCCCTTTAAATACAGTTCCTCATGTTGTAACCCAGCCATAAAATTATTTTCGTTGCTACTTCATAACTGTCATGTTGCTACTGTTATGAATCGTAATGTAAATATCTGATATGCAGGATGGTCTTAGGCGTCCCCTGTGAAAGGGTCATTCGACCGCCAAAGGGGTCGCGATCCGCAGGTTGAGAACCGCTGCTCTAGGTGCTTTCAAAGCAAGGAAACATGGAAAAGCAATTTATCATACTGATCAAGTCTCCAGGGTTAAAAACCAAGCTGGCTGTTTATGGCTCCCGTGCTGACTATCTCTCAGCAAGTTAATCAACGGCTTTGTGCTTCCGTTTCTACATCTGAAAGCTGGTGGCACATCCTTTTGAGGGTTTGTGTGAGAAACAGAAGTAGGAGACAATGTATATAATGTACCATGCTTGATACCTGTTTATCGGTAATGATGACATTATTTTTATTCACAAGTGGTAGAACTGCTTTTAAATCCAGATGCTTCTGGTTTTAATGTCTGTGCTGTTTAAAACTGACCACACCAGCCAACAGTCTTATTATATGTACCAAATAAAACAAATCATGAACATTTGCTAACACAGCATGTAAGCCCATTGACATTCTATAGGATTCTTTGATTTTGGTGAAGAAGAAAGCTGAGCCTCACCTTCAGTACTTGGAAGACAGATCCTTAATTTCTTGTCTTATTTAGTCCAGCAAGCTTCCTTTCTTTTAGTCATAGAAGCTGTCCTCTCGGCCTTGAGGGTGTGCACGTTGCCAAGGCCTGGCCAGTCATAGCACCAAGTTTGTCCTGGACACAGAGAATGGTCCAGAGGACATGGATGCAAAAAGAGCCAGTGTCTGGAGGAGTCAGAGACACGAGAGCAGTGTGGTATCTTTGGCCCCACGCAGATACCTTCCGCAGGGTACCTCCCTCCTAATACAGTGTGCTGGGGACCCTGGGCTGTTATCCCATATTCGTTTTCCTCCTCTTCATGAGCCCCTCGGAACCCACGTCTTCCGGTCTCCTTTGGAGATAGGTGTGGCCAATAGGCTCACTGGAGCCAATGGGATGCGAGGGAAAGTGTTGAATGCCCTTTCTACAGTTTGCTGTTACACCATCAGTCCATGTTTCCCCATGTGTCAGTGACTCAGCTCTAACGTTCCTCAGCAGCACCTGAGGAAATGGACACCTTGGATTAACTGGGAAAGAAATGGATTTTTACAGTGAATCACTCACGGAAAACCCTGCGTGTGAATGTGCTGGGAGATGGTAAAGTCCAAGCAGAAGATCACTTAAGCTCAGCCACGAAAAAGGAATGAAGTACTGATTCATATTATCACAACATGGAGGAGCCTTGGACACATGAAGGTTCAAACACAAAGACACATGTTGTATGATTCTACTTATATGACATGCACAGAATAAGTAAATCTACAGACAGGTGGAGAGTGACTGGGAATGGGTATCAGGTTTCTTTGGTGGTGATGAAAATGTTCCGGAATTAGACAAGAGTAATGGTTGTACAACTTTCTGACTATACTAAAAACCGCTGGATTGTATACTATAAAGGGGTGAATTATATCTCAAGAAAATAAATTTAAGCTAAATTGCCCTTAAAGATCCTTCTTTAAAAATGTAATACAGCCCTAGCTGGTTTGGCTCAATGGATAGATCTTTGGCCTGCAGACTGAAGGGTCCCAGGTTCGATTCCGGACAAGGGCACATGCCTGGGTTTTGGGTTCGATCCCCAGTAGGGGGCGTGCAGGAGACAGCCAATCAATGATTCTCTCTCATCATTGATGTTTCTATCTCTCTCTCCCTCTTCCTTCCTCTCTGAAATCAATAGAAATATATTTTAAAAAAATGTAATACAGCTTGTTTTATCTTTAGTGTAAAAAATAAATCGCCTTTCTACTTTTTGAATTGAGCACCAGATAAAGTAGTATGCTTGCCTTTAGGAACCCTGTTTCTAAAAATATGTCTTTTAACTCATCACATTCAATTGCATGAGATTCTTACATTATAAAATGCAAGGGAATGGCATCAGAGGTATTCAAAAGGGAACCTATGTACCCCCGGGGATGCAAGAAAAATTTCCAAGAGGTGCTCTGGCACGGATAGTTTTAAGAAAATTAATTTCCGTATCCTCAACGTGCAGGTATTACCTTTTCACAATTGATCTGCGGCTAAAGCTGCCATGTCGTTACCATTCCTCAGTTTACAGAAGGAAGTCATACGTCTCACCTGTCCTACGTTCCTACCATCGCACAAACCTCACGGGGTCAAACAATCCGACAATTTGCGTTACTGATGTTGGGGAAACCTCCTTTATATCAAGGCACCATAAACCGCCATGGAACATGGCATTTTCCCTTGCCTTATACTTTTGGCCCATAATTCAGAAGCAATGCAGACAACTGAGTAACGCTATGGTAAAATTCATCCCGTTCCCTTCTACCCATTCAGAGGAACAATCTGTAAAAATGGAAGCCAGGGATGGAAGCCGGTCCAGGACCTCACAGCCCCCGCAGCACCGCAGGCGCAGGGCGTTCCCCTCCACCCCGTTAACTGCAGGGCACGCAGGGCTGTTCTCGGGTTCAGTTCGCATTCTTGTCACTGTGTTTCCAAAAGGCGGGCTGTGGTCAAACGACGCGTGGCCTGATCAGGCCGCTCCAGGGGACCCCCACGCCCCGGGCTGGTGTGAGAGTGTGGGGGGCAGGGGGTAGTGAGGGAGGGCGGGGCAGCACCCCCTCCAGGGAGCAGGTGCCCTCGCCGCTGCACCGGGAGCGTGGGAAGGGCCGGGCAGGGCTAGGCGAGCGAGCAGAACACCGTTTACCTAGTTTCCCAGAGAGCCTTTGGGGTCCCACAGAGGCCGGGGGGCGTGGAAGGCGGGCGGCGCCTTTGCCACTGGGACAGCGTGGATCCTCCGCGAGGGCCCGCCCGGGGCCCCCACACCGCGCTGGGCTCCGCCGAGACCCTGCGAGTAAAGCGGGTCTAACACCGCCTATCGCCTCGCCTGGCCCCGCCCACCACACCCGTAGCCCCGCCTACCACGCCTGTAGCCCCGCCCCAACCCCGCCCAGCGGGAGGGTGCCAGGCGCCACACGACTTCCGGTGCTAGCGTCCAATCGGCTTCCGCCGCTCCCCACTTCCTTCTCCTCCGCTCTTTCCCCGCCCCCACTGCCTCCTTCAACGCCGTCACGTGAGGGGCGGGCGCGGGGGCCGTCGGGACTAGTTCTGCCGGTGGGTCAGGGTTCGGCCTCAACATGGCGGTTCCGGTCGGGCCGTGACCGAGGTTTCGCGGTCGGAAGGACTCCCCGGGGCTCGTCGGCGTGTCCGCCTCATGGGTGGGACGTGAGCCGCCGTGGCGAGCGCGGAGGAGCGACGGTGACGGGGCGGGGTCGGCGGCGTGGGCCCCGGGCGCCGAGACGGCGGAGTCGGGTCCTCGGGTTGGTCTCGAGGCTTCCCTGCGGGGCCCCGCCCGGCCGGGCTAGGCCGGCGGGCGGCGGCCGTGAGCGATGGCCCAGTGCGTGCAGTCGGTGCAGGAGCTCATCCCGGACTCCTTCGTGCCCTGTGTCGCCGCGCTGTGCAGCGACGACGCCGAGCGCCTCACTCGCCTCAACCACCTGAGCTTCGCGGAGCTGCTGAAGCCCTTCACCCGCCTCACTTCCGAGGGTACGTGGTCCTCTCCCGGCCCCCGGAGCGTCGGCGCGCGGGGCCGGGGGCGGGCGGGGCGAGGGCGATGTTTACAGCCCGGAGGGCGGCGCGTGCTGGGCGGCGGGGCCGGGAGGGAGCCTGTCGGGGCCGCGCCGTCCTCCCCTCAGTCCCTCCGGGCGCTTCCTTCCCGCCTCGCACCTGCCGCCTGTTCGGTGGTTCCTGTCACGGAAACGGGAGCCGCCGCGGGGGGCGGGGAGCTGTCGGAGGGAGGCGAGGCCGGAGCGGAGCGGAGCCGGCCCGGCTGTCAGACTGCACGCGGGGGACTGGCTTTGAACAGCAGCGAGGCGCCTCTCTTTCTTTCTAAGCTCCTGCTTGCTTATTTTGCTTTTTTGTTTTCTTCGAAAACTTAAACTTTTTCTTATATTCCTCTATCATATTTTACTTCTCCAGAAAATAAAAAAAGTGTTATGGAAATAATAGAACTTGACACAGCCTCTGCCTAATGGGCCAGGGAGGAAGAAGAAATGTTTCATTGAGTCTGGATGGAGTCATCTAGATGTACAGGGAAGGGAAAGCCCTAAAATTTGGTGTTTCAGATCGAAATTAAATCATTAGTAGAAATGTGTCTTTTATTGAGGAGGTACCTGATTTTTTATAGCTTTTGACTGCAGTGGTTCTGAACCTTCTGGTCCTTTAATACAGTTCCTCCTGTTGTGACCCAACCATAAAGTTATTTTCGTTGCTATTTCATCACTGTCATGTTGCTACTGTGATGAATCGTCATGTAAATATCTGATATGCAGGCTGGTCTTAGGCGACCCCTGTGGAAGGAAGGGTCATTCGACCGCCAAAGGGGTCGCGACCCACAGGTTGAGAACCGCTGCAGCTTAGTCTTTATTAGGGGGAAAAATAGGTGTAACAAAACCCCAGGGATGACTATCCAGTGCCTTCATCTGTACTTCGCAAACGGAACCTAGGGAAGTGTGTGTGAAGCGAGGACTTCATGCAGCGCGGCTGTGCACGTGGACGCAGCGATGATGGGGATGTGGTTGTGGGGACCTGTGCGCGGGCGGAGCGGAGCCATAACCTGCCGCAGGCCACCCTCCGGGCGGGCAGTGCCTGTCGGTTCCCCTTTAGTTAGTATCGGAAGGGGCGGGAAGGGTCCGCACAGCTTTTGGGAGCCCTCGGGTCCCGTGGGCCTGCCCCGTGGCCAGCTCCTCCGGGCTGCACCGAGTCAACAGGAACAGCCAAGTGCCCCACATTCTTCAGGGCTTTGAGAGGCGTGTGCGCGCTCTCCTGCGTGGTGAATAAGTAATAATGCCAGTACCCGATACCTGTTTTCCGAAGCTTTCCTCCTGTCGTCCTTAGGAGCTTCATGGGGCAGATAGTGGTGTCTTCATTGCACATTTGAGGACACGGAGGCAGGCAGCTGATGTGCCCGGTCTTACAAGTGGGAGAGATTTACACAGGCCCTGTGACTCCAGACAGGTGGTCATCATACCTCCTGGCATATTTTTTTATTTTTTTAAATATACTTCTTATTTGATTTCAGAGAGGAAGGGAGAAGGAGAGAGGTAGAAACATCAATGATGAGAGAGAATCATCCATCGGCCGCCTCCTGCACACCCCACACTGGGGATGGAGCCCACAACCCAGGCATGTGCCCTTGGCTGGAATCGAACCTGGGACCCTTCAGTCCACAGGCTGGCGCTCTATCCACTGAGCCAAGCCGGCCAGGGCATCCTGGCATATTTAGAATTACTCACTCACACTGGGCAGCAGCACTGTCCAACAGAGATATAATGTGAGTCACGTATATAATTTAAAATCATTTAGTGTTCCCGTGATAAAAAAAGTGAAAAGAAGCAGGTGACATTAGTTTTAATGACTGCTATGCATCTTATTTAACCCAGTATTTCCAAAATGTTATTTCAATATATAATCAGTATTAAACAATCATTTAAAAAAATCCTCACTTGAGGATATGGTGTTTTGTGCCTTTTTTTTTTTTTTTTTTTGGAGGATATGTTTTTATTCATTTGAGAGAGAGGAAGGGAGAGGGAGAGAAAAAGAAAAACATCAATTGGTTGCTTCTGGCAGGTGCCCAGACCTGGGATCGAACCCACAACCTGGGTATGTGCTCTGATTGGGAATTGATCTTGTCACCTTTTGGTGTGTGGGGGCTCCACTGCAACCATTTGAGGCACACAGGTGAGGATTAAAAAGATCTTAATGAGGGGGCTGGGCGAAGTGGGGCAGAGGAGGGAAAAATGGTGGACATCTGTGATACTGTCAACAATAAATAAAAAAAAAGCAACCAATGAATGCATAAAAATAATGACTTAATTTTTATCTGAAAAACCAGATTTTAGGACTTTGCCTTCTCTATAAATCTAGATGACCCCATCTAGATTAAATTAAAAACTTGTTCTTATTCCCTGGCCCATTAGGCAAAGGCTGTTTCAAGTTTTATTATTTCCATAATACCTTTTTCTTAGATATATACTATTATTTATTTCCCAACTTTATTTGAACATGGGATCAATTTTTCAGAAACAAGCTCTTAACTTTCTTGAGGAAGCAGTATTCCATAGAGCAGCATATACTGGGAAATATTACTTCATAGTAAAGTATTCAAGATACGATCTCGTAACCTGTAAAATTAAGAAAATGGTAGATTTGAATTTCATTTTTTTAACTTTAATGGAATTTTATTGACTTTTTTTTTATTTCTCTTCCATCCTCATTTATCCTTCCTATATCCTCTTTCACACCTCTTTCCCCTTTTCCAGAAATCACCACACTGTTGAATTTCATTTTGAAACTGAGATGTTATATGATATACTAGTGACCCGGTGCATGGATTTGTGCACATTGAAAGGACATTAATTAGAAGGTAGCCGGCGGGGCGTGTCTGGGCGAGATGGGCTGGAGACCCAACTGCCAATCTCCTGCAGTCTGGGGAGTGAGTGGGGTCCCTCTGGCAGGTGGGGCCCCTCTGCTTGGCCTGCGGGGATTCTGCTGAAACCAGCTCTCTGACATTCCCCACAGGGTCCTGGAGTGTGAGAGGGCACTCTGCAAAGTTCTGCTGCTGCCAGGTCCCCGCAGCTCAGCTGCTCCTGCGTTGAGCATCTGCCCCCTGGTGGTCAGTGTGCATCATAGGTACTGGACAGTTGGATGGTTGCTTAGCCTTTTATATATATAGATAGTCTCCTTTTGTGAAGTTATAATCTTTTTTAAATATATATTTTATTGATTTTTTACAGAGAGGAAGGGAGAGGAATAGAGAGATAGAAACATCGATTCAGCTGCCTCCTGCACACTCCCTACTGGGGATGTGCCTGCAACCAAGGTACATGTCCTTGGCCGGAATTGAACCTGGGACCCTTTAGTCCTCAGGCCGGCGCTCTATCCACTGAGCCAGACCCGTTAGGGCAGTGCAGTTATAATCTTAACGAAGCCTTAATATAATTTAGTTCTGAAGCTTTTGAATTTAAGAGCATTTCTCTTAATTATAATTAGCTCTTATATTGTGATATTCCTGTTTCTATTATCATGTAACAAATGACCCCCAAACTTAGTACCTTAGAAACAAAAGGATTTATTGTTTCTCAGCAATCGGAGTGGCTTAGCTGGATGCTTTTGGCTCAGGGTCTCTCTTGAAGTGGAGCTGTCAGCAAGAGCTACGGTCATCTGGGGCTTGAGGATCCTCTTCCCAGCTCACTCATGGTTGCTGGCAAGTCTCACTTCCTCACTGATATTGGCCTGAGACTTCAGTTCTGTGCCATGTGGGCCTGTCCATAGGCTCCCTGAGTTGCTGTGGCATGGCAGTTAGCTTCATCCAGAGGGAGTGATCAGAGAGAGAACCAGGATAGAAGCTGTACTCTTTATAACCTTATCTCAGAAGTGCTATACTATTGCTTTTGCTGTGTGCAGTTGGTCACACAGAGCAACCCTAGGATGTGGGAGGTGACACAAGTGTGTGTAACAGGAAATGTCAGGATCATTGGGGGCCATTTCAGAGACTGGCTGCCACACCTGTTAACTCATTTCTGGATTTATTAGTAGGGTTACCTAACTGATAAGCCCATTCTGAATATAGTGCAAAACTAGAGCATCCTTTTTGTGTTAATACTTATGAATACTAAAAGATATCTGGCCAATTTACAGCTTTGAGAGAGGTTTATATATATATATATTTAATATATATATTTATTGATTTCAGAGAGGAAGGGAGAGAGAGATAAAAAACATCAATGATGAGAATCTTTGATTGCTGCTTCCTGCATGCCCCCCACTGGGAATGTGTCTATATCGGAATTGAACCAGACCTCCTGATTCATATGTTCCATGCTCAACCACTGAGCCACACTGGCTGGGCTTGAGAGAGGTTTAATACACACATGGCTACTCACGTTATTCAACAATTATGAACTAACTTTAAGGAAAATACTTGTTTCTAAAAATGTCAGAAATGTACCATAGTATTTTCTTGTTTTTTGGTTTCTCTGTTTCATAGTTAGACTAGCTGG